TAATCTCCCCAACCCTCCTCTCTTTCTCGATATCCCCCACCACTCCTCTCTCTAATCTTAGCCTAGCAGATATTACTCGCGGAGGATCCGTAGAAATCAGATTCGGCCCTGACCATAGCTGTGCATGCCCACCATGACCTACTGTGATGGTGGAGTGGTGGATGGTGTAATATACGAGCATAGAGAACTCTTCCGCTTTGAACGAACATCTCGATGACCCATCATCGCCTCTGCCTTCGTAAGGGAGTAGCGCTCAGGGCGATTCGTCTGAAGTGGTGTTGTCTTTGACAAATCTCACCCCAATTGTCGTCGGTGCCCATCCTCGATCCTCCGTACACGTCTTGTTTCTTTCCATCTTCATTTCTCTTTGTCATTTCTAGCAGGGGAGAGGGGAAGACGAGGTCACAAGGCTAGAAATAATATTTTCCATCGCGTTCCACCGTCTGGATGACTGGATCCCATTCCTATACTGTTAATCGGGTTGGTAACCGATAATCGCCTATCCGGTTACTGATAAACCGACTAGTTCCCGATTCCGGTAGTCGGCAGTCATTTTCTATGGTTGGGTAATGGTTAACTAGTTAGCTAGGTAATGGTTAAACTAATTATCGACTGATTACCACTCCTAGTAGGGAACTCAATCCGAGTTTGCGAAGAGACAAATAGGGATGAAAAACAATATCTGATATCATGGATATCCACCCAAATCTGACCTAATTGGGTAGGGTAAAACCCGAACCCAAATAATTTTCAGTGGGTACTGGTAATACCCAAACTTGAATATTGCGGATAATGATAGACATGGTTTTATCACTATCCAACTCGAATTCTCCTGATTATACACATGCATATGTACTTTGTCTATAAATTATTATTCTTTTTCTTGACATATTTTGTATTTAGAATACAAATATAATAGTTTCATGAAATTATGTTGTTTTTTAAATTAATTTTTTTCATTCTAGTGAATTGTTGTCATACTTTTCCACTTATATAGGTGAGTACATGGGTGATGTTAACATGTTGGTTGGAGTTATAAGGTGAAATTATTACCCATGGATAACCGTGGATACCCGAACCCCAAATGGGTATTGACATGGTTTTGAGTTTTTACACGATTCTTATGTGGGTGTGTGTATGGGTATGGGTAAAGCCCGAACTACTTTGTGTGGTAGGGTATTGGATATGCTCTATCCGACATCTGCCTCCGACCCGTCCCGAACCAAACCAAACCGTTCTCCATAGCGTTTGTTACTAAAACGACAAGAATTGGAGTTGTTTAATTAATTGTCTTCTTAACTTTGTTGAGCTTGTTTTTCAGTACATTGTGGAATTGTTAGTTGGGCGAGGCTTATTAAAAAAACCTTTGGGGGCTCCTAGTGCAAATACAAGCCTCCTAAATCACTAAACTTACAGCTAATTATCATAAATGGTCATAAAACTATTCAATTTCTACAAAATGGTCACAAACTTTTAATTTTGCACGTTTCAGTAACAATGTTTGGACTAATAACAAAAAGGTAATTCCGTCGATCTCTATCCAAAAAACTGTTAGTTCCGTCCAGTCAGCACGCCACATCATTTAAAATATTAATAAAAAATTAATAACCAAACCCAATTGAACCGATAACCCAACTGAAAAATCTAATTCTACACTCACCCATCCAATTCTTGGAGACACAAACACTCTGATTCTCTCACTCCTTTGCATGAATCCGTTCTTTTGTTGAAAACCTCTCCCTAAATCTTTCGCCCAGTCTCTCCCTCTCTCTCTACTGGTTCTACAGCGCGCGGAAATGGGAAGGGTAAAGGAATCGCCACCTTCGGCAAGGAAAGAAAGGCGGGGGCGTGTCACCCCTGGGTTTGTAGTCCTAGCAATTTTGTGGGTTCTTGAAGAATAGCATAGAACAGAGAAGAAGGTAAAGGTATAGAGAGAGAGAGAGAGAGAGAGAGAGAGGGAATTGGGAAAAGTTGTTATTTCATTGCTTGAGGAACAATGGTTTCTGGCGGGTTATTTAATACTGTGCTCTGTACAATTACCACAATTATCCTCCAACTTCTAAGTCTATACAATTGAATCCAACTGTTACAACTCCCCTTCCCTTCAGCAGAGACTTGTCCTCAAGTCTCAAAGTCTGGAAATTGTGCCTGAAACTCATCCACGAACTCCAAGTGGCATCCTCTTCCGCCTGATGTGTCCATTGAATCAACACCTTTGTCATCTCTTGCTATAAAACGACGGGCAAGAATCACCGCTAGAGCAATCTTCAAGCCGCCGGAGTCGTCCATCTCTAGCAAAGTGGGATGTGTGTAAAGCTGCTGTCCACGAGCACGTTTGAGTAGTGAGACGTGGAATACGACATGGATGACGGAACCCGGGGGCAGTTGCAATTTGTAGGCAATCACACCAATCTTCTACATAATAGGGAAAGGACCGTAGGACTTGGCTGATAACTTCTGATTAGCTCTGGTAGAGACACTGATCTGTCTATAAGGTCGGAGCTTCAAGTATACTAGTTTGCCCATCTGAAAGATGTATTCAGTCTGATGCGCGTCGGCCATTTGTTTCTTTTTTTCTACGCTTTTGCCAGATTCTCTTGTAGAAGATCCACAAGGCGTTGCTTCTGTTGCAACTTGTCTACCACAGCTGCAACGTAAGTGGATACTGGATTGGTGATGGCAAACTGACCTGGTGCATACCCGTAGAAAGCTTCAAAGGGAGTCAGCTGCAAACTGTGGTGGTAGTTGGTGTTGTACCACCACTCCGGCAAAGTCAACCATGTCTCCTAAGCCTGAGGAGTATGATGAATCATTCCTCGTATATACTCCTCCAAACACCTGTTCAAGCGTTCCGTCTGACCATCGGTTTGCGGATGGTAGGCTGTAGAATAATGCAATCTAACCCCTTGGAGCTCAAACCCTTCGACCAAAATGCACTAGTAAACACTGAGTCCCTGTCAGAAAAGATGGTATTGGGCAAACCATGGAGTTTAAAAATGCCATCAAAGAATATCTGAGCTACTGAGTTGGCGTAATAGGGCTTCGCTAGGCTGAAGAAGTGCCCGTATTTGGAAAACATGTCAATCACAGCCAGAATAACTTCCTTCCCCTGGGATTTGGGTAACCCTTCAACAAAGTCTAAGGAGATGTGTTGCCAAGCCTTGTCCAGAATAGGCTAGGGCTATAGTAGCCAGGGTAAGGAATGTTTTCGATCTTGCAACGTTGGCAGATGTCGTAGCTTCTCACAAACTGTTGCACGTCTCATTTGACACCTAGCCACCAAAAATGCTTCAATCGTTGATACGTAGCCTGAATTCCAGAGTGCCCCCAACTGGTGATTCGTGAAACATCCTCAACAAAGATTGGCGCATAATGCCAACTGATCCCACATAAATGGACTCTTTATAGTACAACAACCCTTGTTTCAGTGAGTACAAACGAGACCCCACAAAAGGAATGGAAGCTTCTGTAATTAGGGACTGAACCACCTTATCACCCACATACGCCTCCTCCAATTCAGACAGCCAAGCCGGAAGAACTGTTGTCACTACCTTACAACTTCCCTGAGTAGAAAAATCCGGATGGCTCGACAACGCATCAGCCACTCTATTGAACTTCCCTTGGCAATATTGGATTTCAAAATCCAAACCCAACAATTTCATCAACCCTTTCTTTTGAATCTGAGTATGGATCTTCTGATCTAATAGGTGTTTCAAACTCTCGTGATCAGTCACTATTTTGAACATTTTGCCCTCCAGGTCTTCCTTCTCGTACGTCGAAAGCCCTTGTTTCCTGGGACATAAAGCTTGGCTCAAATATGCCAAAGGTCTTCTGTTCAGAGACAGAACCGCCCCTATTCCCAGATCACTCGCATCTGCCTTGAGGGTAAATGGTTGAGTGAAATTAGGGAGGGCCAAAACAGGGGCTTGAACCATAGCAACAACTCAAAGGCTCGCTGAGCTGGACTGGACCATACAAAACCCTCTTTCCGGAGCAAATCAGTTAATGGCTTGGCAATTATCTCATAATCTTTTGCAAACTTCGTGTAATAACCGGTTAAACCCAGAAAGCCACGTAATCCCTTCAGTGACTTGGGAACAAGCCATTTGACCATTGCCTTGACCTTACTAGGTTCAGTAGCCACAACTTCCTGATTAATAATATGCCCGAGGTAGTCCACTTGTACCTGGCCAAAAGAACATTTTGACGGTTTGGTAAACAAAGTGTTTTGTCTGAGTATGTGTAGGGTAGTTTTGAGGTGGTGGATATTAGATTCTTGGTCAGGGCTGTATACAAGTATATCGTAAAATAAAACTAGAATGAATTTGCACAAGTAAGGTTCAAAAATCAAGTTCATGAGGGATTGGAATGTGGCAGGGGCATTGGTTAGCCAAAATGGCATGACAGTGAATTCGTAGTGCCCATAATGTGTTCGGAAAGCTGTCTTATGTTGGTCAAGGGGTGCATACGGATTTGGTGATATCCAGAGAGTAGGTCTAGTTTGGTGAAGTATTTGGATCCCTTAAGTTCATTTAATAGGTCATCAATTACAGGGATGGGAAACTTATCTTTTATGGTAAGGGAATTGACCTTTCAATAATCGATGCAAAACCTCCAGGATCCTTCTTTTTGAGTACTAACAGGTTGGATGTACTGGGAATTTAACATTTCCTTGCAAACTCTTTCCATTTATGCTTTCTGAGCTTGGGAATAAACTAAGGGCGTAGATTAACAGGCTGGGAATTTGGTTGTAGTGGTTAGGGCTGGGGGTTCGGTTATCGGTTGTCGGTTAACCGGCCGGTTAAACTGATAACCGGCGGTTACCGGTCAACCGACTAACCAAAATTAAATGGCGCGGGCGGTGTTCGGTAGCGGTGTTGGTGAGGCCGGTTAACCGGCTAACCGACCATCATAACCGCGGTTAAACTGACTAACCGGCTTATAAATAACCTCCTAAAAACGACGTCGGATTCCACGTTTCACACCCTAACCCTAACGGCTTAACCTAATCGATCCGACAACCATTCCACTCCACCCCTTGTCCCCTTCCTCTTCCTCTGCATCGCGACGAGACGACGAGAGTCGAGACCCCTGATTCTCCCTGCCGTCGCCGCCGCCCTGACTGCGCCTGCCGCCTGCCCGACGCTGACGTCACCGCCATCTCCCTCCCCGACGCCAGCCGCTCTCCGGCCTCCGCCATCGCCCTCCACGACGCCACGCTCTTCGCCATCCCCCTGTCGCCGCCTGCCCATGACTCTCCTGCCGCCTGCCGATTGTAAAATGAAAAAGGAAGAAGAAAAATAGGGTTCGTGTAGTTTGGGAAAAGCAGATGAAGAGAACGAGAGGAAAGGGAAACCTTTGATCTGTTCTTTTGTCTCGCTTTATTGTTTTCAAAGCTGGGCCCAAACACTAGCTTTCTTTGTTTTCAAAGCTGGGCTAGCAAAAGCCCACAGCTAAAGCAAAATAAAAAGAAGACAAATAAACATTTAACCGACCGGTTAACCGAGCAACTAACTGGTAACCGACCGGTCGGTTGCCGGCTAACCGATGGTTTCCGTCGGGCGGTTGGCGGTAGTCGATGGTAGCGTCGCGGTTAACCGGTAACTGACATTTCGGTTATCGGTTATAACCGATCTAACCAAAAATCCAGCCCTAGTAGTGGTATAGTGTGGTCACAAGGTCTGGCAGGGGGTAGGGAACTCGGTTTTCCAAACACATCAACATATTCTTTAAGCACAAGTTCAAGGAATGGTGGAATTTTACCTGGGCTGCTGGTTCCAGAAAAGCTGATGATGTGGCCAACAATTGAGGTAGTAGTCTTCTTCAACATCTTTTGCAAACCCTTGCCTGAAATCATCTTACATTGACCATACTCTTGAACTCCTTGTAGCACCACATCCTTGCCCTTCCAATCAAGGAACAACTGCAAGTTGATAAAATCGAACTTAACCAGGCTAACTGTCTTCAACCAATCCAACCCGAGCACTACATCATTGGATCCTAAACTAAGGATCCTCATATCAAACCCAAACTTATGCCCTTGCATTTCCCAGCAAAAATACCGACAGATCTTGGAACTAGATAACATGGTTCCATCAGCTAACTTCACACACAATGGGGACACAATTTCCAAGGCACACTTCAGCTCTACTGCCTTTCTCTCACTCAAGAATGTATGAATGCTACCCGTGTCCATAAGGATCATTATGATGCCTTTTTGTTTTCCTGACACGCTAAAACACAACACCAAACTGCGACCAAGTGTAATTGCAGTCCGGAAATGCAGTAAAGTGGCAAGCTCTATTTGTCAACCCGGGGTCCAGATCTACTGCCTACTCCGTGATTATCTATTGTCTATCAAACTAAGTCGAGTAATTGTGATTTTAAGTAAAAGCAGTAAAAAAGCAGGAAATGGTTCAAAGTTCTTTAGCAAGGGAAGAGTCACTCGAGAATGAGTCCCTCTATCTCCTTAGCTAGGTCAAGGTTGTAATTACCCTGGGTTGATTAACTGTTGATTAAACTGCGGAAGATCCGACAGTAGTTTGGAATCTCCTAAGCTGACCAAGCCCTCTCAGGCAGGCTAATCGGCAGGCGACTAGCCTTCATCTCGATAGACTGCTGAGGCAATAAACACAGAAATCCACTACTGGAATTGGATTCCAGTACAAAGCAGTAAATCGATTAACTCTCGTATAACCAATCTGCCACTACCGATTGATGAAGCTCTAGCAACCTAATCAGATTCTATCTATCTCAGGTTGCAACAGAAATCAAGAAAAGATGATCAGCCTTCAATTGACTCAATGAATCAGGCATCAATCGATTAAAATCAATCAGTATATCAATCCCAAGTCATTACAATCAAGATTCCTAACACATGGAGCTAAGGTTCTTCATACCCAAGTTAGAGAGGGTTCTACTCCATAGAGAGAGAGAGAGAGAGAGAGAGAGAGAGAGAGAGAAACAGAAATCAGAGTAGTCATACTCATAAAAATGAGGATAATCTGCTCTGGGATGTCGATCTTCACTCCTGGGATGCAATCTGGGCTTCAATGGTGAGAAATCCACTCCAAATAGCTCCTAGGGTTTGTTCTTTGCACTTTCTCTCTCTAAAGCTCTATTTTCTGCTCAAAAACTCGATTCCTCTCCAAAAGACCCAAAATTGGGTTAAAAACCAGAATTTCCCAACCACACGGACGTGTGGAAATCCCAGCTGCCTGTGTGGAGGTAAAAACGTCGTGTTTCACTTAAGTGGTCTCATGCACGTCACACGGCCGTGTGAAATCTCGGCCTGCCTGTGAGACATCTCTGTGATTTCCACACGGCCTCAAGGGGCCCGGTACATGGCCAGTCTGGTATTGCCCGCGTAATGGAATTCCACATAGCCACGCCACACGGCTGTGTGGCTGTTAGGTCTGGCCGTGTGGTTTCCTCAGCTTCTCACCAAACGTCCAACCTTCGTCCAATCGACCCCGAACTCGTTCCCAAACCTCCAATCACGTACTAGGACCTGAGATAACACAAACAAGAACAACCTAGCGTGAAATCGGACTACAACACGAGAGATGAGACTCAAACGGTACAGGAATGGTGGACAAAAACATGTGTATATATCAAGTCATCATTTCCCTTAAACAATGAGGGAATGAGATAACCCCCCTGTGCCGAGAGCCTACATAGAGACTTCAACCAACTCAGATTATTAAGGTTCACTTTCCACTTCCTCAACTTCTTCTTCACTGTCACTCATCTCTTCCTGCAAATCTTCAACACCCTGATCCACTTGCAAGGCATTCAATTGCTTCTTTGCTTCACACACATGACCAAAATAATAGCGGTCTCCACACTTGTAACAAGAGCCCTTAGCGAAATTACTCTTAGGTGGAGTTGACCTAGTAAAGTTGCTAGAATTAGAGGGACGACTACCCCCGGCACCTTCCCACTTCTTCGAATGAACTTGCACAGGGACATTGGTGACTTGTGATGGTCTAAAACCAGAACCACCCCTCCACTTCTTTATCCTGTCCTCGTTAGAAGCCTCCTCCAATTGAGCCAACTGGAAAGTGTTCGCTAATGTAACTGGCTCCCACATAGTAACCACAGGTTGCAACTCTTCCTCTAGCCCACTGATGAAACTAGAGATGAAATAATCCTCTCCCAAGGAAGGGTTGAACCTAACCGTTTGAGACTTCAACTCTTCAAACTTCTCCTGATATTCCACCAAAGAACCCTTCTGCCTTAATTTGTTGAAGGCACCTACAATGCCCCCATAGGTTCTGTCATCAAATCTCCCAAACAGAGCAGTCACGAACTCACTCCAAACCAGATTATCCCGACCGTACTTCCAACCCTCAAACCATATATCAGGGCGCCGCTCAAAATAGATTGCGGCCAAACGAACCTTCTGATTATCCGGGATCTCATAGATCTCAAAAGGTTTCTTGCATTTTTTGGTCCACTCGCGAGGGTTATCCCCACTAAAAGGAGGAAATCGAAACGTGGTAGCTGGTGGTTAGGGTTACCTCAAGGTGGAGGTAAATTCTCCTGCTCTTCGACCTGAATTTCTCGAGCCAGACCCTGAGGAGCTTGCAACTGTGTGGCAGGCTCAGCTACTAGTCGACCTTGATTCGGAAGAGGCAACATACCACGATCACTAGGCCAAACTCTGGCAACCAGCACGTCGTCGTGATTCCGGCTCGCATCCAACCGACGAAGAATTTCGTGCATCTGCGCCAATTGTGTTGCCTGATCAGTAGCGCGGAGCTCCATCCCTTCCATATGTGTGTTGAGAGTGGCGAATTGTTGTGTATGCCTCTAGCACGGCAAACCAACTCGTGGAGTTGGTTGGAGTGCGTTGTAATCACGTATTCGAGACCCGCAATTGTGGATCTCATCTCCTTCTCCGAACAACTGTTGTGCTCAATTAGATGGGTGAGGCGCTCATCAATGGTGCCCCGCGTGTTTGCCATTGTGCCAGGATAGGCTCTGATACCAATTTGTCACCCTTGGGTTTGGTAGTCCTGGCGATTGTGTGGATTTCTGGAAGAATAGCAGAGAACAGAGAAGAAGGTAAAGGTATAGATAGAGAGAGAGAGAGAGAGAGAGAGAATTGGGAAAAGTTATTATTTCATTGGTTGAGGAACGATAGTTTCTGGCGGGTTATTTAATAACCTGCTCTCTACAATTACCACAATTGAATCCAGCTGTTACAGGGCGACGATGACAAGACCGACAGTGGGATCAAGAAGAGCAACCGCCACGTTCTTCAGTTCTTCGAGGACATCTGATTTTGACAACGACGATACCCATCGACTTGAGCGATTTGGATGATCCGAGCGATTCCGATGAGGAAGGTGAATGTACATCCGTTTATTCTTTGTTTTTGACTAAATGTGTGTTTTCTTCTACTTTCGGAAATGCGGTTCTGCACTTGTTAGGGTTTGTTGGTGAGGAACGGTTTGCGCTTCCTTTTCTTTCTCCATTGTAGTTATATTTTAGGGTTCTCACCGTTAGTCGTTGCGAAAATGGAATTACGGAAGGTAATATGTGTTTTGTACCCTTGATTGAGTTTGTTGTATGTTGTGAATGCTTTCGAGAGCTCTATTCTATGCAATGTGGCTTTCGTTGCTCGAAGAATCAGGTTAAGGGAAATTGTCTTAGGCTAGGAGTTCCCTTTTACTTTCAGCTTTTTCATCCAAACAAAAATGAGTTCCCTATAACTTTCAGTTGGGTTTACTCTGCAATGGGATTACTCTGCAACGCCGGAGCTTAATCGAGCTGGGTAGAGGAAAGAGACGGTGTTTCTATCTCCAAAAATTTGGGTGGGTGGGTATAGAATTAGGGTTTTGGGTTGGGTTAGTTCAATTGGGATTGGTAATTAAAATTTTAAATGACATGGCATGCTGACTGGATGGAAGTAACGAATTTTTGGATGGAGATGAACGGAATTACCTTTTCGTTATTTGTCGGGTAAAATACTTTGGGTACCACTTAAGTTTGAGAATTGGAGTAGACATACCACTTAAGTTTGAATAGGGCGTCGGGTACCATTAAAGTTGCCAAATGTGCATCCGTCTAATTTTCCATCCAACCCAAACTTTTAATTACTTTTTGATACCCAAAACTTTTAAAAACATCCAATACTATATTTCAACAAGTTTTATCTAATATAATAATTAGAAAACCTTCTAAACATATTATTACTATAATGACTAATCAAAAAATTTTAATAAAATAGATAAATTAGTAAATATAATAAACGAATATCAAGAAGAAGAAGAATATACTAGAATATAATAATGAATGTTTAAAATAAATATTAAAATATCTATTTAAACCCCCTAATTCAATTAGAAGCACCATTAACAATATTTAAAATAGAATCTAATCGATAATCAATATATCAAAATCAAGTAAGGATAAATGAAACACAATAAGAAAGAATTAAACATATTCCACTAATTGAAAATTTTAGAACAAAAAGAGATGGAAAGTAACAAAAAAATAAATAAAATATAAAAGCTACGGTAAAAAATGTATAAAAGAAAAATGACTATAAAAGCTACAACATTGTTTATTTACAACATTCATGGAATAATTAAATTATTAGAACACATAATGATAATTGAAAATAATTATAATGATAATTGATTTTAAATTTTCTATTCAAAAATTGGTTTGGTATTAAGTATTCAAAAGATGATTCTAACTAAACAATAAAAAATGATGTTTTTCATAAGTCCAAATGATTTTTTTACAATAAGAAAAGTAGAAGGAGCAATTATGAAATTAAGAAAACGGAATATTTCAAGAATATTCTGTCAATTTTAACGAAATGCAATTAGGAGTAAACTTAAGTGGTACCGGGTGAACATATAATAGAGTTTAGTGGTATCCGACGCCCTATTCAAAACTTAAGTGATATATCTACCCCAATTCTAAAACTTAAGTGGCAGCCAAAGTAGGGATGGCAATGGGTCGGGTTGGGGCGGGTTTTGTCAAACCCAAATCCAAACCCATGGGTTTATCCGCCAAAAAAACCCGGGGTAAAACCCGTTGGGTTTGAAAAACTCAAACCCAACCCAACCCGCTAGGTATCCGCGAGTTCATGGGTACCCGTGGGTTTTTGTGGTAAAATTTTACAATAACAAGTTTCTTTCAAAATAAAAGTTTAACATCAATTTTCTTATACAAAAAACATCAATCTAGAGCATACAAGCAAACCGCAAATGATCAATACAAATTGTTCAAAATTAAAGATAAACATATATAAACAATAATATTAATTGAAACTTCTTCCTCATCAACTAAGTTTCTTCACTCTCCACTTCATAATATTAACTTCATTCTAAACAATTAGAACATGTCTCCACAAACATATAGAATATTAGTTATTTAAGGAAGATATATTATTTAGAATATTAAATATATCGGAAAAGTAATTATATGTGTGTTGGCGGGTACCCATAGGGCGGGTTTACCTAAACCCAAACCCAACCCGACCCGGTGAATAATGTAACGGGTTTAAACCCGAACCCGACCCAAAACCCGTCAACACGGGTTTTACTCGCGTTGACCGGGTTGGGTCGGATGGGTACTCGTGGGTTCGGGTTTTATTGCCATCCCTAAGCCAAAATATTATACTCTTATTTGTCCAAACATATATTATTGAAACCTGCAAAATTAAAAGTTTATCACAATCTTCTACGAAGTGAATAATTTTGATAAAATGATAATTACCCCTAAACTTACTTTACTTGCCTATCTGGTTCTATTTCATCTCTCGAACTTCTCTTGTTGATAGGGATGGCAATGGGTTGGGTCGGGGGCGGATAGTGCATATCCGTTACCCTACCCAAAGTAGGTCGGGTTTTATCCATACCCATAGCCACATGTGAAACGGGTAGAAAATCAAAACCATGCCCATACCCGTTCGGGTTTCGGGTATCCACGGTTATCCATGGGTAATCATTTCTCTTCATAACTTCAACCAATATGTTAACATTCACCCGAATTTTCACATTACGTAAGAGGAAAAGTACGACAATAATTCACTAGAATGAAAAAAATTAATTAAAACAACACAATTTCATGAAATATTATACTTATATGCTAAATATAAATACATATGCATTTGTATTTAGAGAAAATACATATGCATTTGTATAATCAGGAGGATTCGGGTTGGATAGTGAGAAATCCATGTCCACCCATTACCCACAATATTCGGGTTCGGGTTTTACCCGTACCCACTAAATGTCTTTCGGGTTCGGGTTTTACCCTACCCGATTAGGCCGGATTCGGGTGGATATCAACGGTTACGAATATTTTTGTCATCACTACTTGTTGACCTTTTCAGTTTTTTGTAGAAAATTTTTTTATAGAAGAAAGTTGAGCTGAAAAGCAAGGTTAACATGGGGAGAGGGAGAAGGATTGTTATCCAAATTGAAGCAAAGTAGCAAACAATTGATCAACGTTGCCGACGAGGGGCGTGCGCTACAGGGAACAGCACGAGCCATTCCCCGGAAGGGCAGAAGAATGGGCTTGCAGTTGCAAGGAGCGCACTGTGTTCCTTCCATGGTAACCCCTGTTTACAGGCACAGTTCTCCTCGAAGGCCTCTCGGTATCCCTTCTCTGTGCTTGGCTTGCAGCGTCAAACCCAGTTCCGACCATCTCCGATCTCAGCTTCACCAGCTCCGCTCCGAAGCCAACGCCGCCAGAGACGACGGTATTCGTGTTTTTTTGCTTCATTTCTGAGTTACTTCTCTCTTCATTTCCTAGTTGATGTCGTAGTACGGCTGCCATGTTGTAGTTATGAATCCGAGTTCTCTATCAAGTACTATGTTTGCTAAGGTATGCCGATGTTGAAAATGCTTCGAGGAGATACTGTAACCATGGGTTAAGGAGGAATAGGGTGGGGATGGAAGCAGAATGGTCTATTGGTATTTGGTTCTTTAAGGTGCAGTCACAGATTGGACTTAAGGGTTTGCCTGAAGCTTCATTTCTTCAACTAGGGCCTACTTCCCCACAGAACTCTATGCTTGCCATTCCTAGCATATAATTTATCTTTTTATTTATTTATTATCTGCCTCAAATTTTGGGTTCTCGCCTCTGTTTGTTGAACGATAGTGTGATTGGAATAATGAGGTTTAAGGTGGGGATATTGGTTTGCCCCGGTGTCAATGGTTTTTTAAGTTCTAGTTGGTCATAAATTGCATTTGAACATCTGGTGAGCATTTTTGTGCGCCTTTTTTACAATGTACCCTTCAAGTAAGGTAATCTGTAGCATATTATTCCTTAAGAACAATAATCTGACAAAACCGTATTGCTCAAAAATAACCAGCCAATAGTGCAAGGCTGCGGATGATGAGACTGTCAGAGGCAGCAGAGAACCTTAAACGACAGGCAGCTGTAAGTGTTCAGACCGGAAGGGAAAATGATGCAAGACAACTGCTTTTCCAGAAGAAGAAGGTTATGCAGGCTATTGATAGATCAAAGGGTCGCATTGAATTGCTTGATGAGCTTTGTGCAAAGCTCAATGAGGTGCATATTTTTATCTTGATGTTCTCATAGTGTGGTGGTGTATGAGCTTGGATGTCGTTTCACTTGTAAATTATATTTTATTTCTCAGGCTATCTCTAAGAAAGAAACCCAGCTGATTGGCAATCTTGCCTCAGATCTCGAAGTTGATGGGGAAGATGCTTCTGGTCCGGTTCGGGTTGTATCTCCCAAAGCTGCTGAAGGGTTCCCCAATGGTTTAGATGATGCCAAAGACCTATCTTCCAATAGCATGGATATCTCCCATATGCACAAGCCCCAGTCTTGTGGCAATGGGAACTTTAAGCTGGAATATCTTGATGTGGGTATCTCAAATGAGAATCTTGAAAACACAGGGTTAAGTGGCATATCTTCTTACTATGACTTCTTGGAGCACATAGATACACAGCTTAGCAAGATCGAAGCACAATTAGTCACAGTCCTGAATGTTTCTGCGTGGATTCTGATTAAAGAGAAGACACCTGATAATTCAGAAGTGAAGCAAACAGAAGAGCTTTTGTCCAGCATTCGTGTTATTCGACAGCAGTAAGTGCCTCGTGACTTAGAGAAAAAGATTGATCATGTTGTCTGAGGTGGTAGCTTAAAGTGTTCCCCATTTTCTTTTGCCTTGACAGAGTTGCAGAGATGATGGAAGGTAAGGTGGAAATCTGAGTCCCCACTAAGCTTTCATTCTCCCTTGCTAGCATGGAAGAGAAATTCAGCAGTCTACTTGATCAGCAATCAAACTCTGAATATTAATCATCTACTGCTCTCAAATACGGAACGACAGCAAATCCCAGATCACTGTAAAGAAATAGCGGAGACAGAGAAAATGGCTTGGCAGAGCTGTTGTTGAGCAATGGAGAGCTTGCTTGGTGAGATTTGAGAAGATTACCAAGTTCGGAGACAGCAGGAGAGCAATTAAGTAGACAAGTGAAATTTGTATGATCTCCACTGTTCCTCTACAAAGTAGATGATCCAATAATTAGTCCTCTGGAAGTCAAAGCTTGGTGTCAAGATTACCATGATGGGCAGCTGGAGGAGAGCCTAACAAAGAACGCATGGATGTACCTTCTCGATTTACATGATCTTGTTAATACCATGTAAATGTCGAAAGCTTGTTTTCCGTTGGCAGCATAATTTTGGCTGTTGAGTAGTTTCATTTGCTTTCCATTGAACTTGTAAGACAAAGATTATGGAAAGTTCTGAAGTGCCAGGATATGAGGACAACCTTTTGGGCCAAAACCTTTCCACTTCCTTTACAAGACTCGACTATGAAATGAGGACTGATGTGAAGATCATCCAAGTCTGGAGTCCAGATCAAGCTCATCATGCCATATTGCTATTTGTTTTCATAACCACTAGTGAAAGTATTTATTATAGTAAAATATTTCATCGACTCATTCATATAGGGTGATTATCATAAATGGTCATACAACTTATCACTTAGTATAGTACAAAACGGTGACTAAATTTTAATTTTTCATATTTCAATCAAATACATTTGGACGTATCACAAAACGGTCATTCTGCCATTCTCCGTTCAAAAATCTGTTAACTTGGTCCAGTCAGTTATTCCATCAGCATCCATGTCATTGAAATAACTATTAAAAGGGTTAATTCCACCTTTGGTCACTGACTTTACTACAACGTGTTATGTTTAGTCACTAAAAAAGATTAATATCAATTTTGATCACTCGAATTACCGAAACAGTCCACATTTAGTCACTCTTCGTTGGTCTCCGTCCAACTCCGTTAATGAAGTCTGTTATGTGCTAACATGGCTAACAAAATCGCCTAGTCAACATCGTTTTGGGTTGAAGTTTTTCTCGAAAATGATGAAACCCAACCTGCCACGTCATCAAACCCACCATGTCATATGTCCAACCTAACCCATCAATCTAACCCGACTCATAAACCAAACCCAACCCCACTGAAATCCTAAAATACAAAATAGATCTGGTTTGAGACCATTTTCAGTGATTCATTTCTCCTTCCTCGTGATCCCCAGGTGCGTTCCTCTTCCATTTTGATCAAAATCTTCAGAAGGTCAAACACCACCGAACGTGCCGGTAAAGGACTATGTAATGGGGTCGATTGGAACAGAGATCAAAAGGGAAACACCTAGCAGCATGGACTTCAAGTTCAACTCCATCAACCAGCAACCAACCAATGAACCAATTACCACGATCAGCAAAAAGAAGGAACGCAAGCGATCAGGAAAAGGGTACCAAGGGAATGGTGGAAAAATCCCAAAGTACACTAGTTGTTAAAAAAAATCCCAAAATATATAAGTTATAATTTTTTTTTCCAAAACTACACATGTTTGGCATTCACCGTTTTTGACAAACGCAATGAAGATTATCACCGCATTTGACAAAAGCGGTGAATATTTCACTGTTTAAAAAAAACGGTGAAGTATTCACCGTTTTACTCTAAAATCGGTTCACCGTTTTAGAGGAAATCGGTGAATACTTCACCGTTTTATTCAAACGCGGTGAAGTAACTGCTGCTGTGGGCCACGATCAAGCGACACGAATTGCTGGCGTGGACAAACGCGGTGTATTCACCGCGTTAGACAAACACAATGAATACCCCGTGTTTGTTTGCGCCAGCGATCCGCGTCGCTGACCCAATCACCGTGGTCGTTGGATGCGGTGAGACGCGGATCGTGGTTTTCTTCCCAGATCCGACGCCTCACAGCACGCCACGTGGTTCGATTCGCGTCTGTCGCCGTTTTTGAAAAGGGCGATGCATTCACCGCCTTTGAGGGACGCGGTGAATGCTCCCCAACAATTTTCGCAGACCCCTCCCTCCTTCCCTATAAATAGAACCCTTCCCCCCTCTTCCAAATCACACCACCACTTTTACAATTCTTTCTCTCTCAATCTTTCCGCTCTAGTCCCATTCTAAGTATGCTCTGTGGTTGCGGATAAATCCGATCTTCCACATAAGAAAGAATTACTAGAGTTTGACCCTAAAGCCCCGTCCCGCTAAGCTCCCGTCCCATACAACCCGAACCCGTCGAACCTCTGTCCGGCTTCTGCCAAAAAATGGACGAAGAGGCTCTTCGTGTAGGTTTTTTTTTGTGTTTTAATTTTTAATCGTAACAATTTGATTTTGTGATTTTTTTTATCAAAACCATCTCTGATTTCGCTACTTTTTTATAGATGGGTGCCGAGATATACGATCCTCGATTGTATATCCATTATGGGCCAAGAGATATGAGACTCTTAACCGATCAAGAAGCTCATCGCTCCCGTGCTATTTGGGATAACAATCCGGTAATTTGATGATTTATTTGCTTTATTTTCTAAGGTTTTATTTTGCTTTATTTAAACTAACAAACTTATGTTTTTCCTATTTTTTTGAAGGAATCACTTATTCTCGTCGTTCATAAAGGGACCACAAACTTGCCCCCTTGGCATCCACGGTTGGCGCCCTATGTAGTAAGGACCCGGTTGGGTATGTTGCGCCATTTCATGCGGATCGAAATCGACAACGATCTGCTTACGGCAATGGCGGAGCGATGGCGTCCCGAAACCCATACGTTCCACCTTCCGGAGGGGGAAATGACGATCACCCTCAAAGACGTGGCAATCCTCATCGGGCTGCCGATTTTTGGAGATGCCATCATTGGTTCCACTACCAAACCCGAAGGAGGTTGGGGGCCGCTCATTCTTGCTGAGTTGGGATTTGACATGCCGACCACCACACCAATTCAAGGACGGGGGCATCCACCGTTGAATGCGGGACAAGTGTCGGTCCCTGGCTAGTAACTCACATCCAGAATGAGGTGGAAATCAATGACGAGACTCCGGAAGATCAAGTGGAGCGCTATGCACGCATCTACCTCATTGGTCTGGTGGGTGGATTTCTGTTCCCCGACAAGTCAAACCGGTGGATTCAATGCATATGGTTGCCATTGCTCACTGGTGACTGGGACGCAATCGGGGAAAAGAGTTGGGGATCAGCCGTGTTAGCTGGCATATACCGGGAGCTGTGCACTTGCTCAAAGGTGGGAGCAAAACAAGCTGGTGCTGCGATGTTTATCCTACAGCTGTGGGTATAGGAGCATCTTCCAATGTTTGCGCCTCTAGACCCACGTCCATACCGAAGAGCCGATGATGAGCTAAACTTTCTGCAAAATCCCCCTTACGATGTCAAGTAACTTTATTCCGTACTTAGCCTAATTTAAAATTATTCCATGATTAGCTAGATTTCAATTGAATTTATTCCGTACTTAGCCTAATTTAAAATTATTCAATGATTAGTTAGATTTCAATTGAATTTATTCCGTACTTAGCCTAATTTAAAATTATACCATTCTTAGCTAGATTTAAATTGAATTTAATATGTACTTAGCCTAATTTAAATTTATACCATGCTTAGCTAGATTTAAATTGAATTTAATCCGTACTTAGCCTAATTTAAATTTATTCCATGCTTTTACTTACAAGGTGGATAGGAGCAAATACGAATGACCATCAACTTGAGCATTCGTTACTGTTTTATCGTTCTGGGTTAGATAAGCCTTGGTGGAATCATGTAATCATGCTTTATCATATTTTAACAAGTTATGGTTTTTCAAGGTAAATGGTCGCTAATTGCATTATTTGAATGAATATAGGTTACTTGGGATCCATATCCACGTGAAGTGGTCGAACTGCATTATCTTAGAAACCCTATGGATCACGAAACATGGTTGTGCAAGGTGCCATTGATCTGTTGGCACGTCGTGGAGTGGCACCTACCCGATCGATCCTTGAGGCAATATCGAATGGAGCAACCAATTCCACAAACCCCGCCTCAAGGTTTAAGGGAGCTACATGCCATCGACCTCTAACACGCTTCAAAGAATTGGATCCTAAAGCATCAGTACTACATCAACATCTAGGAGAATAGAGGGACATGGGTGGTCCAAGGGATGCCGGAGTCGAGACCGATGGGCTACCACGATGGGTACATGCAGTGGTATCGAAAGTTCACCAATAGATGGGTGTCAAAGCAAGGTGCTGTGATGGGTTCCTTGGTAAGTCATCCTAATCTCCCTGTGAGTCTAATTATTTTGTTTTAAGGTTTAATTAATTTTGTTTTATTATGTGGATTGCTTAGGTTGATGGTTTGGAACACGCCAAACACACCCTCGATAGTGCTCCAAGCATGGATGAGCGCAAAACTTCTTGGCTGCGAAGGCTTATGAACAACCTCTTGAGTTGTACTCGAGAGCAAAGGAGGGATGTCATGGCCTATCCTCCCATTCCCGCTCCGGCACGCCCATCATTCCGTGATGGTGAGCCCATTGTGCCCCCGGTTGAGCCCCACGAAGGAGCAAACGCAGGCCTCTGCCTACTTTCGAAGAGGTGCGTACAACTCAAGAAACCGAGCTCCCTGAACCATTTGAGTACGAGTGGGCACCTGCACCGGATGTCGCTGGAGGTTCATCTCAGGAACTAGATAATTTCTCTCATTTCCACCATCAACAACAGAGTTCGATGTATCACACCCCGCATCAACAAACCCCTCACCGCCCAATCTACCAGGAGGCTATCGGTTCATCTCAGCAACCTCCACCGCCACTTGTAACTCCAGTAGGGGCTCGAGTTAAGAGACATCCGCGACAAGTCGTTGAGCGAGCCCTCCAAGAAGCATAAGGAGGAGGTGAAAGAAGGGGTCGAGGACGTCGTGGAGGACGAGGAGGAGGGCGAGCTTAGGGTCAAAATGAGGGGCAACCAAATGAAGAAAATCAGTGAACTATCTAGTGTTTTCGGTCTTGTGATTTGAGTTTGCATTGTTGTTGAGTTATCCATGTTGTTTTTAAAATTTTCAGGTCTTGTGATTTGAGTTTGCATTGTCTAAAAACTATCCTACGCACTTAAGTTGTCATTGAAACACTTTATTGATGATATTTTTAGTTTTATTATTCTGGATCAATTTATCAAGAATTAGTATCTAAGCTCAACACCAAAAAGTTGGGAAAATCAATCACGATCATGTAGAATTTTACAGATCTCAATTCCGAGTTCAAACGAGTGAGATAAGTTAGTTCAAAGCAGCACATGTCGTTAGAGTAACGTTTGCGTACCTAAAACTAAAACGAACGTATCTTATTCGTTTGACGTCGAAATAACGAGCCGTTTGTGGCTACGCGATCATATCGACAAGGAGAAAATTTTAGAGTGAACAAATATATTCCCAGATGTCTATATAATTTCAACGATCAACGACAATTAAACAAGTATTTCAAACAAAGGGGTAATGAAAATTCAAACAAGCTTACAATTTAGTACCGCATTACAAGTAAATGAATATTAAGATAGATGTCTTATACATCATTCGTCCTCGGTTATATCCGCATCATGCTGGAGTGGTTGTCTTGGGCAACGCCTCTTGTCATGACC